TCCCTTTTCGATTTCACGACTCCGGTATATTTCCGCTTGAAAGATAGTTGCATTATATCCCAGTGCTTCCCACATCAGCCCCAGCTCCCTCATTGGTGAAGGAGCCGTCTATATACCATGTTATCATATTTTCTTTTATTATTTGGGTCTTGGACAAGCCTTCCCAATTGTTTTTGTTGCCAAGTTCAGTTTTGAAGTTTTTTGTAAAGTTATACTTTACAACCATCCTGTCCGTTGGCATTTCAGTTTCTTGGATTTGTGCAGTCGGAGAATTAGATTTTTTGCTGATAGTTTCAAGACCAGTCATCCTGTTTGTGATTACTCTAAGAGCACTCCTCTTCGCCTGTGATTGCACATAGATGTGAAGAGGTGTGAGTTCCATGAGTACTTCAATTGATGACGTGGGACATGTTTTGATTGCTCCTGTTACGCTTACACATGCAAGATGTTATACCTTGTTGAGTGTGTTGATAACGCTTTGCTGTTTTGTGCAGTTTTGCCAGACTATTGATCCGTAAATAACCATAAATCTGATAATTGCTGGGTATATCCATCGCAGTGACTTTGGTGCACATCCCCAATTCTTGCCTGCGACGTAGACGCCGTAAAACTTCTCGTAAATTTTTAAGATGAAGTTCAAATGTTGTACCTATGACAATTATGTCGTCTAGATATGTGAATGCATGAGGATCCAGATCCGCGCCTATATCTTGATCAAGTGCCCGTTAGAAAGTGGCCGGTGCGGAATGCAAGTCGAATGATAACACTCGCCAGTGGAACAGATCTCTACCTGGTACAGTAAAAGCAGTGCACTGTTTTCTATTATTCTCCATCGTTATCGGCCAATACCCATCCTTTTAGTCGATACTGCTAATGAATTGAGCGTTTCCGATCCAGGATATGATGGATACGTGGCAATGGGTATGCGTCTGGAATGTAGTTAGCATTAAGCTGTCGATAGTCTATACAAAAACGCCAATCCCCATTTTTCTTTTTAACCAACACTACAGGCGCACTGTATGGACTGTTAGTCGGCTCGATGCACCCCTTTTCCAATAAATCATCCACTTTGAAATTGATTATTTGTTGCATAGCCGGATTTTTTGAAAAGTACCTCTGTTTGATTGGGCAATCATCCCGATAACGTTGGGCAACCCCGATAACACCTGGAATTGTAAGTTTTTATTCAAAAATTGGTGTATCAGTTTACCTTGGTCTACTTCTGTTTGTTGGAAATGTGTTTGGGCAAGAGTAGTATGTTGTCTGGCAAAAATGATATATCTCACATTATTTTGGTTTGAGCGCACGGATCTCATTCTCCAATTTCTCAAAATACCTTGCTGGTAGGAAAAACT